TAGATTATCTGAATTTGTTTAGATTAATTTAGCCTAACAATCTACCTTACTATCAAACATAAAATTATAGATTTTTTTATATAGTACCTTTAAAATACCATGGTACTGTAATATTTTAAAGTACTCTACTGTTCAATAGTTTGGGGTCGGTAAGATTTTTGAAAAATGTTTTTGAAAAAAGTCTGTTATGTTCATCAATGCTGCATTTATTGGATCAAAAATACAGTAAAACCAGTAATATTGTGAAATATTATTACAATTTTAAATAGCTGTTTTCTATTTGAGTACCTTTTAAAATGCAATTTATTTATTTATTTGATGCAAAACTGAATTTTCAGCATTAGTACAGTCTTCAGTGTCACATGATCCTTCAGAAATCATTCTAATATGCTGGTTTGCTGCTCAAGAAACCTTTATGATTTTTCAGTGTTGAAAACAGTTGTGCTGCTTCATATTTTTGTGGAAATTTACATTTTTTCCCAGCAATTTTTTATGAATAGAAAGAAAGAAAAAAAAACAGACATGCACATGCTGACAGCACGCTAAATTTAATGACAACGTGTCATGCTTTCTTACTCAAACAACAAAAATGCACTCACAAATGCACATTAATTTGGCTAACATCAGGGTTTAAAAGTAGCTCAGTATTGCAATCAGCTATGGAACCGCATATAGTACCATCATTTTATTATTTTGATTAGTTACTCCACACGTACTAAATAAACTCTGTTATCACAAATGTCAACCTGTTCTCTAACACGTTACCCTGGTACAGAAGCAGAAAGGAACACAAGAGTTTAAAGCCTGCCCAGCTCGGCTTTTATCGTATATCTTAAACTTCACGAGTAGTTTATCAACATTACAGATCACAATTTAGGTTTAAGGTTACTACAGTGCATTTGAGATGTTTATTCCATCGTAATTTACTCACCCTCATGTCATTTCAAACCTGCTTGGCTTTATTTATATTGTGAAACATAAATGGAGATGTTCTGAATAATGTACAGGCCAGGAATAATACAGTAACTAAAAAAAAAACAAATGTTACTTAAAGGGGTCCTATTATGCTTTTTCACTTTTTTAATTTTAGTCTCAACTGTATTTTTTTTTTTTTAAACTTGCCAAATAAATATTTCTCATTTTCATTTAGTTTAACTTGACGTGCTTAAATCAATAAAAAATAAAAAAAATAAACTATAATAAAATAAAAACAACACAATTGCTAAAGCTTTCAAATTAAAACGAAAACAGAAAATACACAGATAAAAACATTTCAAGATCCAAGATATTTAAAAAACTGTAACAGTATCTTAATGATATAAAAATAACACTGGGTCACTGGCACAGGCCTCTTTTTTCAATTGAATTATAATGCCTTGTCATCTCTCTCCTTTTACCCAATAAGTTTGGCATCCTTCCTGGATGCTGGACAGATTCACCTGTGATCTACAAACCCCACACATGGCACTGATAGCTTGAATCACTAGACAGCCGGTATAAAATATCAGTGAACTTCAACTTGGGAGAGATGATTGTGTTTAATAACTGCAATAAATGGATGTCTGTTATTCTATGGCGCTCAGTGTGTTCATTGTACCATGCGTGTGAATGAACTAGGGCTGCCACTAACAACTTTTTATTTCGATTAATCTATCGACTAATTTATCGATTAATCTAAACGATGCATTTCCCACAAAAAAAAATCAACAATTTTAAAGAACATTTTTATTAAACTTGCAACTTTGTCATTCAGTAGTGTAGCATAAAAAAGTATAAATGTAACCAAGCCATTGACGAAATGTAAAACTAAAAGAGTAAAAATGTAAACAAACCTAATAAAAATGAAATAAAAAGAAAATATTTACAAAAGTCTGAGAAAGTCAGCATGTTCTTAATGTCAATATATCCACATGTTCTGGGCTTCTGTTCATTACAATTTGAGTGCAACTACAAAGGGGGAAAAATATGTTTCAATTAACCCCAACAGTTGGGTTTTCACATTAAATAAATGCAATGTTTAGAGTCCACTGGAATCAAGTATTAAAATTTTATTATTAAAAGTTATTATTAAAAATTGTAAGTATTAAAACTACTCTTAGAAATGTGTAAACAACAGATTTAAACAGACATCTCCAGCATGATGAAAAAAATGGAAGAATCGATGAATCGCAGCAGTCCTAGAATGAACCAACTATTATGAAGAGCAGAAATTCTCTAGCTTTTAGTGAGCATGTGAAATACAGCGAAATACAGGCGCTGATGGGAACTTATGTGCATATGCAGACCTCAGGTCTCCAATTTTTATATTACACACACTCTATTAGTGAAGGACACACCACAAGGCTGCTTGTCATAACAGGTGATGCAGAACACACCAGATCCTGATCCTGAGTATTTAAACAAAATAATGAATAAAATATATTAAAAAAACATAAATGCTCATTTTATTTTATTGTAACTTCAAGATCTAAAATACCTAACTAAAACTGAAAAAAAAATTTACTAAAGAACTATAAAGACATATGTTAACTTTAAAATAAACTAATACATATAACAAAAACACATAATAAAATGACTAAAACTTTTATAAAAAAAATTACTACAACTATAATCGTATATCAACTGGTACAGGTGACATTACGGTGTTAAATGTCTTACTCCTTCTAAAACAGCATTTCACGAATTCTTTCATAATTAGCATGCATACAGCTTTTAAGGCCTCTTAATTTAGATGACATGGAATATTTGTGCTTTCAAAAATGTCACACTCATGCAGGTCTACACTTTTCCTGAAAACATTCATATCAATTGTAATTTAACATCTTTGTTAATGATGCACCCAAATAGGGATGTGCGGTATACCGGTACTGGAAAAATACCGGTATATATTATATTTCAAACGGTACGATATCATAATTTTGCTCAATTCGGTATTTCATTCGCTGCTGTTCCAAATTTCACCACTATGTGTCAGTTACCCAAACTGACGTGAAACCGGCAAGCATGACAACGGAGAAACGACAATGGATAAAACAGGTGAAACTCACTCTACACGTCCGAAATTAATAAATAAAGAAAGCGGTAGAAGTTAAATATGGCATTACTTTGCCTACAAAAGTGATGAAAAAGGTGAACCAACCGACCTTAATTCACCAGTCTGCAAGCGCTGCTATAAATCATGTGCTGCCATGGGAACATTTGTCACTCGCTCATCCTGATTTGTTCAAGGAGTTAAAAGATCGACAGGTAAATGTGTCTCTTTCAACTGATTTAATTTAGACTTTTATTTTAAAAAGATCAGTAATATTATTTTTAGTATTAGTAATAGTGATGAAGTGCATATTACTGCTAAATATGATCGTGGTTTTGCGCAGCTTGTCAGTAAGCAACGGCTCTGTGTAGTTAATGCTGCTCCATGTGAAAGCCCGCAGGTGATGGAGATTTACCGCTGATTACAGAACCGGCTTTTCTGACAAGATGCGTGTTAAATATCGCATGCGATTTATCGTGCAGCCCTACTGATTTTACACAATTTTGCTTTATTTGTGAGGGCCATACTTTTAAATGCTTCATAAATGGACATTTAGTTCAATGTAAGTTACTTTCTAGCTAAAGCTTACCATATAAAATAATTTCAATTCGTTCCTCAGTTTGTAACACAAATGTTAAAGGTGCAGTCACATTTACCATTGTTTGACGACTTTCCGCGAACAAAATCCAGTTATTTCAAATGGAATCCACGCGATTTGGAATTTCGCATGACAACAAACCATTAGTTTACGTTCACATTAGTGAACAACTTGACAACAGACTTTTTCGCCGAAATTTCCTTAAAGGGTTAGTTCACCCAAAAATGAAAATTCTGTCATTAGTTACTCGCCCTCGTGTCGTTTTAAACCCGTAAGACCTTCGTTCAATTAATGACAGCATTTTCATTTTTGGGTGAACTAACCCTTTAAAGTGACTGCACCGAAACTACAGGAAAAAACAGATTAAAATCACTTCTGCATCAAATTTTTTGAACAAAACGACACGGAAAATAAATCACAATCACGATTAATTATTTTAACAGTGACAGTCCTAGTTTCTGTCAATAAATCAATGAACGTTGGCTGAGTGAGTTACATTCGAGTTCTGTTCTAGAACGTCCATTACCATGACAACGACAGTCTAGAGTGTTACAGAAGGTTTAAAGCGATTTTCGGCGCGAACATTGATTCTAAACTGATGGCCTAGAATCCGCAATTCCATCGATCAACTGTCCAATGTGTGGAACGAGTGTGACTGTTGGTTTTAATCTAGCACCATCGACCAGCATGAACTCTGCACCAGCGGAGCCACGAGACCAATCCATCACGACCTCATTAATACAAACTAGAAAGTCTTGGCTTGGACAAACTAGAGCATGCGTAACTAGCAACCCACATCAGTTTTACACCTTCTCATCATATCATCAGAAAACAAACACACGCTTTAGACGCCATCTCTGGCCTGCACGAGACGCTAAAGCAGTTAGCACTCAGCTTAAAGACCCACGAGCGGCAAAACACGAGCGCTAACCACATATTTACATCGCCGTATGTTGTTAAATCACACAGAGCTTCATTTTATTCATGCATCACCCTGATATCGTATTAAAGATACTATATTGAGGCCTGCATGTGTTCTCGCGTGAACTGTACTGAGCGAGCTGGCTAAAGATTCACTACTGTGATCCGAACATCTGTCCGGGGTAAACGGATGCAATGCATTCCGTTACAAATGCATTCTCATTTAAATCGTAGAAAGCATGTGTGGGTGCATAAACGAGCAATTCAAAATATGTGATTGCATCTATATAGCAACCTGTTCCAGTCAATTTAATGTATATTATGATATGTTTCATAGCTTATTTGTTGCTGTAACACTCTATAACCACATAAAATGACAGCCCAGTGTCCTAAAGCAATGCACGAGTGTAGAAACGTAACATTATGTGACTTGCGTTGTTGAAAACTCACCTCATATTCTCAATGTCCCTGCCGCCGCTTTTTAGAATGCAAATCGGTATGGCGATTACGGCCAGCAGCATCATGTACGCCACATAGAAGCACTTTTTGAAATAGAAAACGAACGTGCTGCTGGTCCATAACAGGAGCGGGAGCACCAGCAGCACAGGGAGCATCCACACGGCATCCATGCCCGCGACCAGCGCCTCTTTCCCGGCTGTCGAGAAATGATAGAAGGTCAGCGGTGTGGAGTGGAGGGGGGACCGCGCGGGATCAACTCAGAACCGAGTCTACATCAGACACCACGTCCAAGTCGCACCCTTGAGTAACTTTGGCGTTCCCCCTGCTTGTCGTTTACGCAATATCGGGAGAATGAGGTGGATGTCAACAAGAATCAGGCGCGGGTTATCCACTGAGAGCGCTGCGTGCGTAACCTTTGGCCGTCTGCTGTGTGTGTGTAACTGGCGCTGTGCGATTCGCGAATCATTCTTTTGAACCGGTTCTTTGAGATGATTCTGTCTCAGCATTTGTGAACGACTCACTTACAACTAGAAGTTTCCACCAAACTACTACAATTATAGTTATTTCGATAAAACTGCTAAACGCTGTATTATCAAACAGTGTCCAAAAATAAATAAATAAATACATAAGTAAACAAATAAATAAATAAAAGTGTATAATGGAGTATTTATTTATTTTCATTTTTATTTTGTAACATTACTGGCTCTTTTGTGTGTGTGTGTGTGTGTGTGTGAGAGTGAGATTCGGCAATATTGTATGCAAAACAATAAATGACAAAATAAATAAAAATTAAAAATGCAATACAAATAATAACAATGCAATGATAATGCATATTTTTTTGCATAAAAAATGGTTATAGGTTACAATATACTTTTAAAATATCCTTTATGACACTGACAAAACGATGTTTAATAATAATAATAATGCAATGTTTTTATTGTTGTAGTCGGAACAAAATGCAGAAACAATATTAAAAATACTAATAATAAGACTAATAATAAAATAGCCTACTACTAATTAAAATACGTCCAAACCACTTTATTAGTGAAAATATTGTTCTTTATTACATTATTAGTTATTATATTATTGATATATTTTACTTATTTTATTACTTTTCTGTCACTGCGTGTGTATTTGTGCTTTGGCAATATTGTATGCAAAACAGTCAATAAAATAAATAAAAATAACGAACACAAGACAAATAATAATAATAATAGGCCTAATAATATGCAATAAAAAACGGTTCTGGGCTACAATATACATTTAAAACAATTGTATGATATTGAAAAAAATATTTATAATAATAATGCAATGTAGTAATAATAATGCATTTTAGTCAAATGATTAATAAGTTTGTGTTGTGTCAAAAAGCAGAATTAAAACAATATTTAAAAATACATTCAGGCCACATTGCTAGTGAAAAAACTCTAAACAATCTTAACTACTAGAACAACTGAGTGATGATCAGGTTGAATTGGTCGAATCAGTGAACCGTTTTCTTTAAACCAGTTCACTGAAATGAACAGTCCGAACGAACCGTAATAATATGCAACAAAAAACGGTTCTGGGCTACAATATACATTTAAAACAATTGTATGATATTGAAAAAATTATTTATAATAATAATGCAATGTAGTAATAATAATGCATTTTAGTCAAATGATTAATAAGTTTGTGTTGTGTCAAAAAGCAGAATTAAAACAATATTTAAAAATACATTCAGGCCACATTGCTAGTGAAAAAACTCTAAACAATCTTAACTACTAGAACAACTGAGTGATGATCAGGTTGAATTGGTCGAATCAGTGAACCGTTTTCTTTAAACCAGTTCACTGAAATGAACAGTCCGAACGAACCGATTCGCTCAAATGAATCGGACTTCCCCACGCTCTGATTTGTGCTCAAAAGCTCCTGCTGTAAGTTTGAAACCCTCCCATGTGTGTGTTTCCGGGTACTGGTTGCTTGTGTTTCCCTGTCATGTGTGTTTGGTGCACCTGAAACTACTTTATTAGAACAAAGACACAAAATGCCAACATTTGGAGTGTGTAAGAAATGCCTGGAATGTTCTGGAACAGTGCTGTGTGCAGTTTCTTATGAAAATTTTCAGCGCTGTTAACAGGACCATCCAGTTACAGGGACAAGTCTTGAGCACTGATCCCACCGAACTACAGAATTTACATCTGATTTGATTATGTAAAGGTGTCTGTGCATGATGTGCATACTTTGTCCAATCTGTGTGGGTATTTTGCAGGCGGTTTGAATAAAAAAAGAGGAAAATAGTTTAATAAACTGGAAAAATCCGCAGTGTATTAATTAAGTCTTATTTCGGCACTGCAAAAAAATATTTATTTGAAGGAATTTTCTGTATTGATTTTTATTTTATTTTATTTTATTTTTAACATGTTTTTCCTGTATTATGAATTTTGCACTTCATTGCATTGTGTTTTAGAGTTAATGAAAATTATTATTATATAAAATTATTGGGCAATGTTCTGGCAGAAAATTACCAGTACATTTTCCATTCATCCATCCATCCATGCATTCATTCATTGTGTGTGCACTTAATAAAAACAAGTTGTTCCATAGACACACACATACTTTACTCTTTGTGGATTAACACAATGTGTTTTATTCAGGGTTATTAAAGGATAGTTTCCAAGGATAGATTCCAAGCTTTATAATGGCAGTGGATGGTGGTTGAGATTTTGAAGCAAAATAAAGTGCATCCATTCATCATGAAAAGTACTCCACACGGCTCCGGGTGGTTAATAAAGGTCTTCTGAAGTGTTTGTGTATACTATGATGACTTGAGGGCGAGTAAATCATGGGGTAATTTTCATTTTTGGTTGGACTATCCCTTTAACCATAAAAAAAAAATTGTTACTTGAAATAAAATATAAGTTAACTGGAATAAAATATAAAAATAACCTAAACTTATTTTATTTCAGATAGTTGTCAACATTTCATATTTTCATTTAGTTTATCTTGATGTACCAAAATAACTAAAACTAAAATTTTAATAAAACATTAATGGAAATATTTACTTTTATTAAAATATTGAAAATATTTGTATTTTTTATTATAATTATTAAAAAAACAGACAACAAAATGACTAAACCATTAAAATTAAAACAGAAAATACAAAAAACAATATTAAAAATAGTATTTCAATGATACTAAAATAGCACTGCTATTCTGCAAAAACAATTTCCCCCAAAATGTAGTTTATTGCAATTGCCAGTAGGAAAAATCACGATGCCAAGTGTTGAGGAGCGGATAGGCAGATTAAGGATTATAGGAGGTGCAGTTAACAAGATTAAATGGCTGATCAGATTGTGTAATCTGATACAGCAGATCCTCAATGCTGCAGTCACAGAGTCACTAAGGTGTTTAAATGTGACCTGACCACAGTTACAGCTTTGTGACACTGTGTGTGTGTGTATGTGTTTATTCCCAGATAATTAATCTGAATTGTAAGCATATGGTTTTTAGTGCTTACTTTTTACTAAATGTAAGAAGTGTATGATTATGTCAATATGAACCCTCTTCTAAGTCTCATTCTGAGTCCATTGAAAGTGAATTAAGATCTTATGGTGGATTTTAATTTTTATTTATTTATTTATTTTTATTATTATTATTGTGGATTAATCTATGGAAATAGTTGTCTTTTGGTGTCATAAAGCTGACGTTTTCTCAGCTGAGTTAAACAGCCAATCACAGCAGAGTTTTCTCATATCATAACGTCAAAGAGTAATGTTCAAGGATCATTAGGCTTGTTCGAGATGCATCGGCGCTGCGCAGACCGATCGGCGTATGACATCAAAGTACCGCGAGAGCGATTATGCTGCGTTCACACCAAACGCGAATAGAGCGTCTGGCGCGAATGATTTCAATGTTAAGTCAATGTAAAGACGCGTTTACGCGCGTCTGGAGGTCTCGCGGCGATTAGAAAGCAGACGACTATTTAAGCTTTTGAATCGCTCTCGCGGTACTTTGATGTCATACGCCGATAGGTCTGCGCAGCGCCGATGCATCTCGAACAAGCCTAATGTCACCTGCTACAGTGACAATTTTGAGCTAAATTTTGTCCCAGAATAGTGGTTCTGATGAGATACTGTATGAACTTTCATATGGAGGTAATCCAGAAATGTGACAAGAAGTGGTGTTTTATCATTAAAGATATTCGCTATATAAAAATAAATAAATCTTTTGTTTTTTGCATTCCTTTCTAATTAAAGACAAGCAAAATTCTCCATCAACCTTTATCGCCCTCTGATGTCCGTAACTGGAATTGCAAAAATGTATTGCACATAATTTTGCACTTGAGAACTGAGTGTATTATTATGCAACCTGGAATGATCCATTGAAAATAAGCAAATGTGAAATATAAAATAATACTAAAATATTCTTTTAAAGTCACATAAGAAGTAAACACAATATCCATGCACACACATATGTTGCCCTTAACCTATATTTGCACTTGCAGTGAATGTACACTCTGTTGCACGGTCTCTGCAATGCAGAATGTTTTGCTCTCAAAGTGCCGCATACAAGATGAAACCTGTCGAAACACAAACCTGGCTGTAGAAGGAACTTGAGGGCTTGAATTAAGAAAAGGGTCAACAACCTGAAAGTGGCCTACATGCTTTACACATGCATACAATGCTTTATAAAAACGTATGCACAGTTTAACTTGATATTTAAATAACTTAAAATCACTAATCAAAATGAATTGGTGTGTGTTTTCATGCTTTATGTGTTTACTTTTTTTTATATAATTCTGACACTTCAACAACCAAATACCTAATATGGCTGATTTGAAAGACATTTTCTTATTTTCTATTTAGTCACACTTAAAGGGATTCTATAACAAAAAGGATTCTATATTGATGAATCAAAAAGTAGCCTATTCTAATTGTTTTTATTTAGTCTCATTTTGTCCTAATTATATTCTATTGTCTGTGGTCAAATTTTAAAGGTTATTTTTACCTTTAAATAAATAATTGAAATTAAAGGTATTTGATCTCATTCTATTCGATTCTATTCATGCACACTGTAACCTGATATTCAAATAAATAAATTTTTACTGTTTTTTAAAATAATTATTATTGATAAATTTGTGACACTTCAGTCGCTTTTAGATTACTAATTACCCAATGTGAGGAAAACATTTTTGAATGTATAGATTTTTTCTTATTTTCTATAACGTTCTATTTAAAGCTGCAGTCCGTAAGTTTTGCTTCTTTGTCGCCATCTCTGTTTGAAAACTTGCAATTGCAGCTATTTGCGCAATTATCTTCCTTGCGCGGGTTGTGCACCGGCACGGCTCGGATGAATATAATTTGTGGCTGTCAGTCACCGACCACACCGGTGTGGATACTGCACTTTGTATTCACAGATTCTACATGTTGAAAGTATGACCCAAATTAGAGTTTTCACTGGAGAATGTCATCTAAAAAATAGAGTGGGGGAACTATGACGTCACTTTGTAGGCGGATCAGCTGTTAGCATCGCACTGGTTCCCTCGACAAAAAGCCAATGGGATTTTTCCATAGGCTTTTGGATTATCGCAAAAAAATAAGCATAATCATAGTTCATGAAACTTACACGTTTTGTCCATCAAGATAATCTTCACAAAATAATATAACTTTTATGAATATAACCAAAATAAATACGCCAGAACTTAAAATCTAAACTTCTACACTAGAGCACCACGGTCGCTCGCATTTAACGTCACCACCACCATGCTTCCCACAACATTTCAAACTTATTTTTAACATGTTCAGTGAAAAGGATTTACTCTGTATATGAATTTTAATCCACGCTACATGAACCTTTTCATATAAACTGGTATTTTAGGGGATTTAACCAAACTCCCATTCAAAAAAAAACCATCGACTCTGGGACGATGGAACCGGAAGTGCTAAAATGCTGGCTTCCGGGTTTTTGCCTACAAAGTGACATCATAGTTCCCACTCTAGTGAGGGGCTGCAACCAGTGACATTTAAAGGGACAGTCTTGTTTGTTTTCTGTCGGTAGCGTAAATCAGGGTCTCTTCCCCTTTAAGGCGCTTTGAAGAGTCGCAGAGAGGCCGAATCTCCAGCTGATCGTCAGTGATTCTCATCCCAGCACCATCTCCTCCACCCGATTCGTGCTGATCTTTGGGACAATAAGTCCCTTAGAATCCAACATCGGTCTAAATAACGCGCAGATATCAGAACTGGGTTTTAAAGCATCTTTGGCCGTGTCGTATCTCGTCGCGCGAGGATGATGCCTCTCTGGATGCAGCGCGTGCAAATGGATGCGTGTGCGCGCGCGTGTCCTTGAGTTGAGGACCACCAGCATTGGATGTTTCTCCATCTCACGGCCGATTGCATCTTAAGTAAATGTGTATTTTTACTCTTTTATGCGCTGGAGAACACTGCTGGCGCGTCGCCTGTAATGGAGGAGACGAGATGAGAAAGTGAAGGCGTGTTTGGAGAGCAGTCTGTATTTGTGTTGTGAATCATCCGTGTTACTGTGAAGATGCCGAGGAGTTTACGCAGGCTGGTGCACCTGGTGCTCTTCTGTCCCTTGTCTAAGGGTTTACAGGTAAGTTTAATGCTTGAATGACAATGTTTGGTTATATTTTTCCATCAGAAACCTTATAAAAAAATTCGAAATAACACAACAGTACCATGGTGTCACCGCGTTTTTAAACATGGCACCATAAATGTTTCCTGGGCATGGTATTTGCTTGAATATTACGTAAATACCGGTACAAGAACATGGAAGTAATTCAGCAACATGATAAGGGAAACTGGGGCTAGTTGTCACACTTTTTACGCAGGTAAACATATCTCAGGGTAGGACATTTTCATAATTTTGTGTTGTTGAAAAAAGTGTTGACATTTCGTGACAACCCTGATCTGCCATTAAATAACCTATTATAGGCGTTTCACCAAAATGCAAACAGTAAAAAATGCACAAATTCATGAAACAGCAAATATGTAAAAGGTACCATATAAAAAATATTAAAGTGAAAATACATTTGCATAATTGTACTCTTTGTGACCCAGTGTGACAACTTGCCCCAGTGATCCATGTACATTGATGACCATCACTGTAGCTCCTGATTTATATATATTGCATTCTTCTGAATTTTAAAAACACAAGTTACATAAATCATAAGATAGAGGATCTGTCATTTTAATTGTTGCAGTTAATTCCAGCTTTAGCTAATCACACACACACACACACACGACTGGTCTGAGTGCTTAATGCACACAGTATGCTGACAGTATTTCTGTAGATCCGCACTAAGAGCCCTCTTTCATAAGTGCACTCACTGTAAGTGCACACTGTGACCGTTTGAGACGGTGTAGGTCAACTCTGTCAGATTCATTGCTGAACCCTGCGCTGAAGATGTCACAGATGACAAATGCATCTTTCGTTTCTCCCGTACAAGAGAACGAAAACAGCAAGGATTCGACCTGAAGTTAAACAAAATCTCAGTTCCTCAAGTTAAACAGACAATATACCATTATTAAAGGGATAGTTCACAAGAAAAAGAAAATGTTGTCATTATTTTCTCACCCTCATTTTGTTGCAAACATGTGACTTTCTTTCCTCTGTGGAACACAAAAGGAAAAATTAAAGAGCTTTTTCCCCATACAATGCTGAGGCTTTCAATCTTCAAGAATGATGCAAAATCATTATAAGACTATCATAAAAGTGGTCCATCTTACTTGTACACCATATTGCAAGTCTTCAGAAGCCATACAATTTTTTTTTTATTATTTGAAGAACAGACTGATATTGAGTTATTGAGAACCGAATCAGTTCAATTTGTGAACAAATCATTCAGGCTGGAATTAAGAGCTAAATCAATAGATTCATTGACATGACTGGACTCAAAAGAACGATTATTTCATGCATACAACATCTCTACTTTCATGATCTTTAATGCATGTGCCAAGAAGAGCTAAGATGAGATGTTTCAAAACTATCAGTGAATAATTAATTACATTTTGGTCATATTAGTTTTTTGCATTTTTTTTAAAGCTCGAAAGCCTCAATTGTTGTATTTGTAGGAATAGTTCACCCTAAAATTAAGATTGCTTAATATACTCACCCTCAGGCCATCCGAGATGTCAATGAGTTTGTCTCTTCTTCAGAACAGACTTGGAGAAATGTAGATTTACATCACTGTCTCAGCAATGGATCCTCTGCAGTGAATGGGTGCCGTCAGAATGAGAGTCCAAACTGCTGATAAAAACATCACAATAATCCATAAGTAATCCACACCACTCCAGGCCATCAATTAATGTCTTGTGATGCAAAAAGCTGCATGTTCTGATGAACAAACAAACTTTTTTTTTTCTTCAAAATTTTTATTTTTGGGTGCACCATTCCTTTAAAGGTTTCAGTGCATATTTATACGACATGAATGTATTGTAAAGTGCACTGCAGTTGTTTTTTGGATTGTGTGTTCAAGCCTTGTTTTCAGCGAGCGCACACACACTGAGTGAATTTAGGTATCTAATTACAGTTGTCTGTATCAACAGGCAGTAATCAGATATGTGTGTTTTCACAGAGTCACACAAACTTTCCCACTCCAGGACAGAGAACAGTTGCTGCCTTTAGCATTCAGTGCCCTTTTACACCTGAAAACTGTCCAAGAGACTACATTTAATCTTGTTAGGGCACATGCTAATGACCACTAATATCTCTTTCTGTCACTTTCTCCCTCTCAGTCTGTCAAAGTAGCATAAGCTACATTCACATCGCAAGCCAAAGTTCCCAATTCTGATTTTATGCTCAAGTACAATTTTTTTGTGAGGTTTTTCAAATGACCTTTTAAATATGGTACATATCGCATATGCATAAAACACCCCACCCTGGCATATTCATTATAACGTCATCACATTTCATAATGTAATTCAAATAATCAATAAATTAGTAATTGAAACCACATTGGATTTCCCGTTTACATTTCTGCTTGTTCAAAGCAAAACATTTGAGAGACAATGTACATCAATAAATGTTAAATTTTCATTTTAAATGCATATTTAAAAAAATAATAATTTTAATTTAATATGTGACTTAATATTACATATTGCTTATATTTTTGTATGTGTGTGTATATATATATATATATATATATACTTCATTTGGTTATTGTATTTATATATTTTGTGAAATTATGACAAGATAAAAACAATTGCATCATGGCAAAATTCTGATACATATCCAAATTATTATGAAAGTGGCACAGGTCATAATTAAATTTTATTTTGATATAATTTTTTTCTAATTATATCATATTCATTTTCTAATTTAAAAAAATTAAATGTTTGATTTTTCCTTTCTGTGTTATACTTAAGATTTTACACAGGTAAGATAAGAAGATAAGTCTTTATTAAGTATTTTAAATAATTTTATAAAAATATGTAGTCAAAATGTGTCAAAGGTCGAGTTAAGATATAAAAATTGCATGATTTTTACACTGAAGTCACATTGCAAAATTCTGATATATATCCAATTTATTTCCATGTATGAAAATGGAAATACGTTTGGCATTAAAAATGTAATAAAAACGAGAGCTTATGTATGTCATGTGAAATATTGTTGTGTGTATATTTAAGTTTCTTATGTGTCTCTTTCAGTCCCGTTTACCTGCAGTTAAGGTCAAGTACCTGTTGGTGGCGTGGTTTGGGATTCTGGTGGCCAGCTGGGTGATCTATATGCAGTATTCCTCTTATTCGGAGCTCTGCATGAGCTTATGTATGTCATGTGAAATATTGTTGTGTATATTTAAGTTTCTTATGTGTCTCTTTCAGTCCCGTTTACCTGCAGTTAAGGTCAAGTACCTGTTGGTGGCGTGGTTTGGGATTCTGGTGGCCAGCTGGGTGATCTATATGCAGTATTCCTCTTATTCGGAGCTCTGCAGAGGACACGTCTGTACCATGCTCATCGTAAGTCACTGCATCCTCCATAATGCGTGAGTTTAGGTGCACATCTGTTCCCATGAGCGCCATTCCTCGCCACTTAGGAGAAACCAACATGGAATAGAGAGGATTTGCCACTTTATTGCATTGCAGTTTAAGACAGAGAGTGAGTGTCTGATGATGATTGACATACACTTCAGTGCGTTCGTATACGGCCCATACACACAGATGGTGTAATATTTATACTGTTTTGCCTTTTAGCAGTTCACTGACAGGAAGTCATTGCACACATATGAGAGAGGAACTGGAAAATTAAAAGGAGGAAGTAAGAGAGTTGACAGATCATAATTATACCATTATGGAAGCCAAATTTAAATATTCCCATTTTTATTGTAAGAGTAGGCTAATTATGCAGTGTGATTGCGTTTAATTACAAATTCTGTATTCAGGATGCAAACACAAACCCCTCAGGAAAGTAGAACTTCCTCTTACTGTGATGATTTGTATTCAGTCATGTATTTTTTCTTAAAAAGATCATCTACTCACTTGTACCAAGCCTGTATTTTTCTATCATGTGGCATTTTTTTAGTGGAACAATCAGATTGTGCTTTTCAATACAACAAAAATGTATTGTAACTAGTGTGGTCAAGCTTCAAAATGACGAAAAAGTACCATAAAGTACCATGTTTATTTTTTAATGCACTATCCCTTTAAATACTAAAGTGGCTTTCAGTGCCTTAAGATGATGGTATAATATACATCTATACATATATAAATATATATATATATATATATATATATACACACACATTATATATAAAACAGATAACTCTGTTTTTATTAATTTTCATAAATCATATTTTAATTGCGTTTTATTGTGTTAGCTGAATTTTAGATTGATTGATATTAATTGGAATGCAGGATATATATATATATATATATATATATATATATATATATATATATATACACACACACACACACACACACACACACATATATATATATATATATATATGTATGTATGTGTGTGTGTGTGTGTGTCAGTGTTGTAGTTTAGTCACTTAGTGAGGCCCAGGGGAAGAAAAGCACTTTTCAGCTCTTGTTTTGCAACAACCGCTTTGGTAAATATCAGAAATGAAAACGAGAAGGAAAAGATAACGCAGATGAGAAGAAGTAATATGCTGCCTTTAGGCTGATCTTTGCATTTGTGGGTTATTGTCTGCCCAAGCACCAGTCCATCATGACATCATGAAGCCCTCTGTCCTCTGACTGGCCGGTTTGTCCTCCATTTGTTTGCACATGGCTGTTAAAACAAGAAAAGATGACAAGATGTTTGTGGTTAATGCCTGTCTGTTTCCTGTGTGTGTGTTTTAGTGTGATCATTATCGCAGAGGTATTATCTCGGGATCGGTGTGTAAGTCTCTCTGCGAGGAGAAAACTCTGTCTCTTCAACGCTGTCTTTCAATGTCACCGACGCACCAGGTAAACTCTCAAAAACACACAGATAAATGATTTACACAAACAATTTCCAGGTCATATTTAAATAAAAAAATAAGAAACTATATTTTATATTGCATTAATTTTTAATGCAACAGTTTTAAGAGGTACTGCCAAAGAGGTACATTTCTCTCTGACACACTTGTCATGCACACATACACAAATAGATTTCATGTTATCTCTAAGCTCATCAAAAACTCAAGCATACTGAAGCAAACTGAAGCACCCAGAGACAGTCTAAAAAACACTCTAGTACAGTGAAGCAAATAATATTAATATTTCAGATTTGAAGTGGCCGGTTTTGAGCACTTCGGTTTGGAACGACCCTTAAATATGGCGGCCATGATTGTTTTCATTCCGAATTGCCGAATGCGATATATCCCGTTTGGAACGCATTGAAAGTCATTTGATTTTGATCAGCTTTGCTCATTTTGATGAGCTCAGCATGAAAAGAGCTTTCCTGGAGCATTTCAGTCCTTGGTAGTGCAACTGAAGCAAACAATCAACTATGAGTGGCAAGGCACTGTCAAAAGATCTCCGGGAGAAAGTTGTGGACAGGTACAAGTCAGGAGATGGATACAAAGAAATTTCAAAGGCTTTATCAATGTTTATTACACGGCTCTGTGGAATACTTGATTCTGATTGGTCAATCGTGCCATCCAGCGGTATGTTATTCCCAGATAACAACCGCCAAATTGAATAACCCACCGCTCATCCGGGTACTACGAGTTATCTTGACCGTACCTCCACAAATGTGGCTTTTATGGGAGGGTCGCAAGAAAAAAAAGCCACTCCTCAAGAAAGGCCACACACAGTCACGACTGAGGCCACATGAGACTAAAATTGAATTATTTGGCCTCAACACCAAGCATCCAATATAGCTCACCATTCAGATAACAGCTGGGAAGAAGGTTTACCTTCCAATATGACAGTGACCCAAAGCACACAGCGAAACTGAGCACACAGTGGATGAAGGAGGAAAGGGTGAATGTCCTTGCATGGCCTGTCAGAGCCCAGACATAAACCCCACTGAAAATCTGTGGAATGATTTGAAGACTGCAGTCCACAAACGCTCACCATCAAAATTAACTGAACTCGAGCAGTTCTGCAAAGAAGAGTGGCCAAATATTGCACAGTCTAGACGTGCAAGGTTAGTAGAGACAGAGACATATCCTGACAGACTAAAGTCTGTAATTAAAGCAAAAGGTGGTTCAACTAAATACTGAATCAAGGGGGTGATCCTTTTTCGAACTCGGTGATTCTATTTTTTTTTTTTCCCTGACATGTTGGTGTTTTATCTTTCACTTGGATGTTATAAGTAGCACTAAGTAAATACAGCTGGATAAAACAAAAACTGTGTCTGTCTTCATTTCAGGCTGCAAAGCAACAAAATGTGATTATTTTAAAGGGGGGTGATTCTTTTCTATACCCACTGTGTGTGTGTGTATATAATATTTGGTCTCGGTGTGAAAAAAGGCATATATACAATTACATCTGGCCCACATAATATGTATTTATATATAATATACTATATTGCAGGTATACAGTGCTGTGTGGAAGGAGAAAGCTGTATTGGTAAAGTGTGGGATTGAAGAGAGCATGAGAGGAGAAAATGGTCCTGACTCTCCACTATGGCATGAAAACAACCTCTTCGATAAACCCACCCGCGGAACATCCATGGATGAATTCAGAGCGATGCTGCATTCCTTTCTCAAGGTTTTAACTATTTTTTTTCTTTTTCATCATTTTTCACATTATACACAAATACAACAATCAATCAGACCTGCAGTTGACACAGAAGCCAGTTTTTTACTTTATAGAGTTCTAGAACATTTGTCCTTAAATTCTAGAACTTGATGTTTTGAATTTGAACTTGAATTGTCTTGGTACAGATTTTGACTATGGCTGGCTGATATAGCCAAAAATGTTGTATCTCAACATTTCGACAATGAATAGATATCCCAAAATGTATGCATTTAATTAGAACCATTATTTTAACCTAAAAGCCATTGATTTCAAGTCAATTGAGAATGTTAAATGCAAGTAAGAATCTGATTCAAAATCAGTGCTTCCACGCAGTTTTTCCACTAAACAGCCATTGGCATATATTTTATAATAAATAATAAATATCTATTTTATAATAGATAATAAAAGCATTTTAATACATGACAAATGTGGTGACCCAAAATAATCAAATCACCAAACTAATGATCAGAAATATATCATGAATATTTCAATATATCACCCAGCCATTGTTGTGCCTGATATTGGAGAGGTTTATGTCCTGCTTAGCAAAGCAGAAACAGATCTAAGACAGTCTAACCCTCTCTGAGCTTTCGGCTGTTCCTCAAGGTCCCCTGTAGGAGGGTGAAAATGGAGAGAGAGCCGGGGAGGGAGTGGGGTAACAGGGAAGAGAAGCCAAAAATAACTGAAGGAGCCTGAAAAGGTCACAGCCAGAACAATACACTCACTCTCAGTGTCACAGGGGAGAACAACATTAACACACATTTAAACAAAGTGCTGTAAATGGCTGTGCATGCTTACACACTCATAATGCTGGTCAAGACTGTGCTTTAAAGATCTCATGAAATAAAAATGAGTTTTCTGGTTTGTAGTCCATGTAGGTTAGTGTTGAGGCTAATCTGTATGCTAGTGTATATGCTTGCTACTACTAAAATTGACAAATTATTGTTACTCTTTATCTCCCAGGAAAACAATCCAAAAATATTGACAATGATCTCATACAGATATGTTTATATAGATTTTTCTCCAATAAAATGCTCTCTAGAATGAAAATGTCCACTTCTAAATTATAAATACTACCAACCTCTTGACTAGAAATCGCAAGTAGTAAATTGTAGTTCATGGCTGTGACGTAAGACAAATATTATTGTTGGCCATTTTTTTTAAAAGGAACAATCCTTTCAATGTCCTATCCCCAGTGAAATGTGAGAAATTGAGAAAAACATTTAATTGGGCAATTTAAATTGCTATTCACATTTTATTTAGTTAGTTTTTGGCCATTCATTTGTTATTTATTATTATTTCTGTATAAACAATATAAAAATGTTGTAATTCAATTACCAATAAATAATATTCAGTCTACGAAATAAAACGTTGTAGGTTCTAAAATGTCTTTCTCCCTCTTCCATTCATTCACAGGACAGTGTTGGTGAGCAGTCATCTCTTGGCACTCTTGTAACTCGTGTGATTTCTCTGGCGGATGTCAATGGCGATGGCAAAGTTTCGTTAGCGGAGGCGAAATCAGTGTGGGCTTTGCTTCAGATCAATGAATTTGTTTTAATGGTGGCACTGCAAGATAAAGAACACGCTCCCCAGTTGCTGGGCTTCTGCGGAGACCTTTACGTGACTGAAGGCGTAGCACACAGCGCCCTCTTCAGGCTGGAGGTGCCTGGTTGGCTGCAGCCAGTGTTTCCTGAGGCACTGAGTGTCGCTCTTAACCAGTGGCTCGCTCCTGCGTGGCCCCGTAGGGCTCGGATCACCATCGGCCTGCTAGAGTTCGTCGAAGAGGTATTCCATGGTGTATATGGAAGCTTCTACATATGTGATGCAAGCCCAAGACGGGTCGGCTACAATGAGAAATACGACTTAAAAATGGCAGACCTTCAAAGCGTAGCATCGGAGGCAACCGTCAAGGGGTTCCTGCGAGGGAGGACTTGCGAGGCAAACGCCGATTGCACTTACGGGCGGGATTGTACTGCAACATGTGACCGATTGGCAAGGCAGTGCAACGTGGAGGTGGTGCAGCCCAACTTGGCCAAGGTGTGCGCGCTCCTGCAAGACTTCCTGCTTTTCGGAGCACCATTGGACCTGAGGGAGGACCTGGAGAAACAGTTACGCACCTGTGTGACTCTCAGTGGACTGGCTTCTCAGATGGAAGTGCATCATTCCCTTGTTTTGAACAACCTCAAAACGTTACTGTGGAAGAAGATCTCAAATACCAAGTACTCTTGAGACCAACATGATTATCAAGAGAAAGGCAATGAAGAGCAAGAGAATTGGAGACTTCCAGAGAACAAAAGTGGGGTCAGTAAAGTAGGTTCTGGGGTGCCAACAGAATAGCTGAACTCTGACAGCAACTACGGACTTCAAATTTGTCGAACATCAATTGCGAACATGGGAAGTTGGTGAATGGAAGTTCTGAAAGGGCATAAACTACATCCCCACCCTCTGTTTTACTTCAACAACTCAATTGAAGAACCTTTAACCTTATAGAAACGCCTATAGAAGATTTTTTTCTTTGCCCAAAAGGTTCAAGGTGAAGACTGTTCAATAGGAACAAAGATAAGTGAAGACATTTTTCTGACATGCAGCTCCTTCCCAAATGAGTTCTTTTTGGTGAACTTTTGGTTAAGGATCTGGGCTGCAAGCACAAGGATAGTAGGGCTAGTTCCTAGTAGAAGAAACCCAAGGGAAGAGGTCTTGCTCTACAACCCCATTCTCTTTTACTTTAGTGACTCAACTGAACACCCTTTAATGCTAATAGAAAAACCTTCGGAACAATCTCTTTCCTTTTGCCGAAATATCCAAGGTTAAGTAAGACTTAATTGGAGAAAACCAACTGTAGGGCATTTCTTTGACCATGTATCCCCTTCCCAAATGATATATTGAGCTCTGCTTGGTGTACTTGTGGGTAAGGATCTGGGTTGCAAGCACAAGGATAATAGGGTTAGTTCCAAGAAGTAACCCATGGAAAGGAGAGTTTCAGACAGGACTGTCTTGCTCTAGCCATTGATTTCCATACTATTTTTTCCCATATTATAGAAATCAATGGCTACCAGCAACAGTGTGGTTAGCCACATTATTCAAAATCTTTTATGTTCAATAGAAGAAAGAAACTCATACAGGTTTGGAACAACTTGAAGGTGAGTATGGATTTTTCTGACATGCAGCTCCTTCCCAAATGAGTTCTTTTTGGTGAACTTTTGGTTAAGGATCTGGGCTGCAAGCACAAGGATAGTAGGGCTAGTTCCTAGTAGAAGAAACCCAAGGGAAGAGGTCTTGCTCTACAACCCCATTCTCTTTTACTTTAGTGACTCAACTGAACACCCTTTAATGCTAATAGAAAAACCTTCGGAACAATCTCTTTCCTTTTGCCGAAATATCCAAGGTTAAGTAAGACTTAATTGGAGAAAACCAACTGTAGGGCATTTCTTTGACCATGTATCCCCTTCCCAAATGATATATTGAGCTCTGCTTGGTGTACTTGTGGGTAAGGATCTGGGTTGCAAGCACAAGGATAATAGGGTTAGTTCCAAGAAGTAACCCATGGAAAGGAGAGTTTCAGACAGGACTGTCTTGCTCTACATCCCTTGCTCTAACCCTATAGAAACACCTGAAGAATCTCTTTCCTTTGGCTGAAAAGTCCAAGGTGACATAAGGAACAAAGACAACTAGAGGACATTTATTTAACCGTGCAAACCCTTCCCAAATGAGTACTTCTTGGTGCACTTTTGGTTAAGGATCTGGGCTGCAAGCACAAGGATAGTAGGGTAAATTCCAAGAAGTCACCCAAGGAAAGAGTTTCTAAGAGGATGGTCTGGCTCTACAACCACGACACCCTTAAGCAAGACATGCAACGTTTGGTTGCAACAGCAGGATTGTTCCTGGAACACTACTCAAACTACAGCCACACCTATTTTGACTTTCAGTACAGAAGAAATGGATCTTTAGCAATGTTTGGAAGCACCCTAACTTTGAAGTCAGGAAGTGTTGGGACTGTACACCAAAACATGCAACACAACCAAGACATCAACTCTGATTTCATTAAATAGGAACGAGTGAAGGTTATATGTTATGTCTTTTTACAGGGTATATGTTGTGTTAAGTGTGTGTGCTTGTTCTGGAGAGTTTGTGATGGGATTTGTACTTGAACTGTGAGATTACTTACTGTGTTTCTCAGGGCTTGCGTGTTTATGTCTGAATGTGTTTGGAAAAAAAATACTATTAACATTAATCCTAGATTAAATGGAATTATGGTGTCACGGTAAACAAAGTGCACCTTTTAAGGAATCAGTCTAGTGACTGTATATGTGCAGGCTTATAAAACATATCCGCATATAAACCTGAAAGTGTGTGCATACTGTAAACACATCTCCTTGACTCTCAGTAGGCAGTTTTATAAACATCTCTTACACTAGTGTAACAAATCAAATCTCATTTCATTTCTGCTAAACAACATTCACATCCCACAAATAACCAACAAGAAGTACCAAGTGCACATTTAAAAACTTCCGTTTCCTCTTTTCACTTTCAAGATCATTCTCCTCCCCAACTTGGGAACGATCCTGAAATTTTGTTCTTGCACAGATCCAGGTACATTTAGGTGATTTTGAGTTGATTTCAGATATAAATCACAAAGGATGATGACTTTCTGTCTTCTAGTGTGCGGTAGGCTTTAGTACAATTTCACATTGTTATGAATGAAATTTTATGTACTATTAAGTCTTATTTTATTTTGTGCCTCTGTAAGGAGAGCAGCACAATTAGCATGGGGCCCTTTTAAGGCTCCTAAATACTAATTTACTTGACCTCCATCAATTTGTTCAGCTGTTATTCATTGATGAGTAAATGTTTGAAACTTAAATTGTGTGTATGTCTGTTTTTTTTTATATATGGGGTGTTTTTTTCTTTTTTTGGTGAAGCACAGGCACACAAAGTACAGCATTTGTTCTAAAGACACAATGGCACGTATCCTTTTACTCGACCTTTAGAAAGAAATAAGGGATCAGCATCTATTAGTCCAGGGAGGCCTCCCAAAACCACCTCACCTTTAAAAGGACATGTCACTTAAAGGACAAAAACATGTAAATTCACATGCTGGACAAACCTAAAACACGCTATTATTTATTTAATAATTTTTAATGGTAGTAATAAACAAATTTATCATAAGTAAGGATAATTACATGTGTCAATTTGTTAGTTTAATAAAATATGCTATAATTAAACACTGCATTATAGCATAGCTTACTTCATAGATTATATATATAGATTATATATATATATATATATATAAAAACATCATTAAAACTCAAGAGAGGGTTTATTTTGTGATAATGTCTAGTTGACCTGTCCTTCAAAATAAATAGATAAATGGATTATTGATTTGAGTGAAACAATTGTACAGTTTGTAGCTTGTTAAAAAACTAAAGAATAAAGTGTCATGCACTTATGTGATGGGTGATGATCAGATGATCTTGTTCAGCTGGACTACTCCATCATGGCCCAAAAAGCAAGTGGAGATCAACAACCGCAGACACAGGTATGTAACACACAGGTGTAAATGTTGCAGTCAGCTGACTTGTTCCATATGGTTTGTCACATTTCTGAAATTAAAGCAAAATAAAGATGAAAGCAATGCTCCATTTTTGAGAAAGTAAAAATAATCACAACACACTTAACAGAAAGCATGCAGTTTCATCGGCAGAAAAGATCTGCACACTTTTTGTTGTATTTTCTGCACTGATTTGAGGGGAGCTCTGTGAAATTATATTTTTGACACCATTTAACCCTGTAAAGCCTGACATTAATTATTGGGCCAATTTTATTTTTTATTTTATTTTCAATGGGACCATTCTTTATATCTTTAGTTACATTTTTTTCAGTTTTATTCAGACCCAAAACATGTAAAATTATTCCATTTGGTGCTGTTGCTGATATTTATATGGCCAAAAAGTAGATGAAATTCTGATCGGTTGTAATGTAAATCAATCAGATTCAACAGTATAACAGACTACTTACATTAATGCATAGATATCTCAAGTGTTCATATTATCTCCCAATAATGTCTTAGTAGAATATTTATGCTTAGTTTTATGATTAAAACATATAATGTGATGCAATACAATGATAATTGAGAGACGAACAAATGTGACCCTGGAGCACAAAACCAGTCTCAAGTCGCTGGGCTATATTTGTAGCAATAGCCAAAAATACATTGTATGGGTCAAAATTACAGATTTATTTTAATGCCAAAAATCATTAGGATATTAAGTAAAGATCATGTTCCATGAAGATATTTTGTAAATTTCCTACTGTAAATATATAAAAACTTAATTTTTGATTAGTAATATGCATTGTTAAGAACTTCATTTGGACAACTTTAAAAGGCAATTTTCTCAGTATTTTGATTTTTTTGCACCCTCAGATTCCAGATTTTCAAATAGTTGTATCTCGGCCAAATATTGTCCTATCCTAACAAACCATACATCAATGGAAAGCTTATTTATTCAGCTTTCAGATGATGTATAAATCTCAATTTGACCCTTGACTGGTTTTGTGGTCCAGGGTCACAAATAAGCATTCCTAAAAGGCCTGATGATCATTTTTGATACTTACATTTTAACATGATTTTTCTAAAAACTGATGTATGGATAATCAAGTGAACCTAAGCTGCTTCAGTCCAGTAAGTGTTCATCTTAAAATAATACTATGGATATAAATAGTGCAGATACCAGCATTACAGTTGTGTAAAGTTGTTTGGAAATGGGAAATATTGGTCTATTATTCAAACCATCTCTGTTTGTCGGGTATTTAAGATCATGTTCAGGTCCAACCATACAAGATTCATATCCCTGCTTGAAACAGGGTCTAATGCTGGTTTGTAGGGGCTGTCATTCATTCTTTGCACTGTGGAATTATGGGTACAAAGTGTAGTTTCTAGCGCCCTGCTGCTCTTTGCTTCCTCATGACACAGACACAGCACGTTCAGCTGCGCTGCAACGCCTCGAGGAGCAACAAGTGTGTGTGTGTGAGTGAGTGTTACTTACTACTCCAGCTTGCTGCAGAGTCGACCTTTGACCTCTGTTCAGAGTTGTACTGTTTTAAGACTCTAGGTCACAACCCATGTGAAGTGCAGCTCCATTTCATCTATTTCTTGTGCCGTTTTGAGTCCATGAGTCACAAAAACACATGTTAGAATCTACAATACTCAAATACAAAGAAACAGTAATGGGGAATAATGGAGTATTTGGAAAGGGTTTCACAGACAGACATGGGCACTAACACACACACAGAGGTTATCCGGCCTCGTTCCAAGCCCCCGGTCCACCATACAGGACAGCAGGGTCGATCGCAAGCCAGTTTCTTTCTGCCCACTTTTAGCACAACAGTGGCATCACTGCCAGAGTTACGTCTCATGGGGCAAAACCCAGAGAACACACAAACACACCACTACACAAGACTGCACACATGATGGGTAGCTGAAGTGAAATGCCGTGCTAGACTTCTCCAAAAACATATTTTTCTGATTTGTATATAATTATTATGCAGTTTTATGAAATTAATTGAGAGATTATGTAAAATGCTTTTAGTAATAAAAATTATATATAGCTATGTTTGGGGTCAGTAAGATGTTCAACTTATTCAGATTATTTTAAAGGGGTCATATGATGCGATTTCAATTTTTCCTTTCTCTTTGGAGTGTTACAATTCTTGGTGCATAAAGAAGATCTGTAAAGTTGCAAAGACTAAAGTCTCAAATCCAAAGAGATATTCTTTATAACATAATTAGTCCTTCAGCAGAGACCCACCATATATGCTTAAAATATTGCTGACAAAGTAAATCCTTACCCGATGGTGAAATATCGTGGTGGTTTCCAAACAGGAAGAAAGAGTTCTTCATTCAGGGTCTGTAGTGGAATTAAAACATAATTATAGATTTATTTCTTCGTTTTTGTCTGTAAATTAGACCCCTCACTAGAGAGGGTTCAGTGTGGCTCCAGTGCTTTCCACTGTGATTGACAGCAGCGCCCCCTACTGACAAGAGCACGCTATTGCAACCCGCGCTGCGTCAACTCAAAAGGCAGCGCTGTTGTGTGCAAGAATAAAAATAACCCACAGTGCTTAAACACGACAACTCCGTTAGATTTTTTTTTTTAAAGATCTGAAGTGCAGATTTCAGGTTGTTTGCACTGCAGAGCAACGTTTTGGCGTTAAACTACAGGCTGACGCGGTCGCGTGCAACACGTGGGCGGTTTCGGCCAGTTTTAAGCAGAAGCCGACAGCGTCATGTTGTCTCTAAACACTGCATATGTAACAATCGACCATAATTTACTGTCATTAATGCATCGGCAATACTATTTTACACCACGCTATACGACAACCTCATTACAATTACTAAGTAGTATCATAATACACATGATCTTATACAGTATTAATAACGAAAATACGTATATGTAATTGTATACATAATAAAATCGAATGCTCGAAGTTTACATTGTTAAATCAAGATATATTAATGCAATATGTAGTTGTTGTTCTCACCTTCATCGTAGAATGCACAAAGAACAAATCCAGTCAAGAGGAGTGGCTAAAGATATTTATATAGTAGAACTACGGCAACCTGCTGGACCAGAAAAGACGGATTTACAAAAATCCGCCACAATGTCTTTTAAAAAGTCAAGCCTCTGAAAGCAATTTGTAAACTGACATTTATGTACATAAGCACATAAAATAAACATTGTATTATGGATTTGTATAACTTTATTGGGTTCACATAATAACAAGTAATCAATGGAAATTGATTAAAAAGCAATACATATTCAGTATGAAGCCACTGGATTTTATCTCACAGTTCTGACCTTTTTCTCACAATTTTGCCTTTTTTCCCCCTCACAATTCTGAGTTTATGTTTCACAATTCTGACTTTTTTCTCAAAATTGTGTGAACAAAAAAAAAAATCAGATTTGCAAGATATAAGCATAATTCTGAGAAGAAAAGTCTGAATTGTGAGATAAAAAGTAGTTATTACCTTTTTTATTTTTTATTATTTGTCGGGGGGAAAAAACTATTGTGAGATAGAAACTTAGAAATCTGAGAAAAAAGATTGAATTGCAGGATACAAACTCAGAAATGTGAGATATAACCTTAGAATTCTAACTTTTTTCTCACATTTCTGAGTTTATATCTTACAATTCTAAAAAAGAAAAAAAAAAGTCACAATTGTGAGATATAAAGTTGCAATTACTTTTTTTATTCCAAGGTGAAAATGGGCTTCCATAGTTCTAGGATGGTCACACGTTTCAAGTTTTTAGGTACTGAACTTTACTCAAAATAATACATCTGAATTTTAACTGCAGTTTTTTGTACTCTTATTTTCACGGAACTTTCTATGTGAGGACAACAGACACACACACACACAAACTCTCATTGACCTGCTTCACACTGAGGCTGAAATACCCTTAAGAAGCTCCATCTGCCTCCTCTTGTCCTTTGCTCTATTAATGGTCATTTTAAACAGCCGGCAGTACATCTCCATGGCAACAGGAGTGTCATCGTTGCCGGGCACTGGGTATGCGATGAGGCTTGGGTTACAATTAGAGTCCACAATCCCGACTGTGGGAATATTCATTTTGGCCGCGTCTCGGATGCCGACGTGCTGCTGGAAAACGTTATTGAGCGTGGAGAAGAAAACGATGAGGTCTGGCAGCCGGACGCCGGGGCTGTACTGGATGGGGGCGTTGGTGAGCAGGCCACCTTTCCAGTAGCGCGTGTGAGCGTATTCGCCGCACTCTCGCGCCGTCGTCTCTATCAACTGACTGAACTGACGCCTGCGGCTGACAAACAGGATGATGCCGCCGCGGTACGCCACGTGAGCCGTGAAGTTCAGCGCCCGCTGCAGGTGTTCTGCTGTCTGCTCCAGATCAATGATGTCTATATCCAGACGAGAACCAAACAGATACGGTCCCATCAGCCTAGACAGAGAAACACACACATTAACATTCAGAAAGAAAGTTCAGATTCTGTGACATTTGTCATGCTTTTTGTATGTATGAGATAAGTGTATGTGTGTTGTATATATATATATATACATATATATATATATATAATAAGAAGAAGAACCATTATTAATAACTGTGCACCAATAATAGTTGAGCAGCAAATCAGCATATCAGAATGATTTCTGAAGGATCATGTGACACTGAAGACTGGAGTAATGATGCTGAAAATTCAGCTTTACATCACAGGAATAAAGTACATTTTAAAACATATTCAAATAGAAAATAAGTTATTTCAACTGAAATAATATTTCACAATTTTACTGTTTTACTGTATTTTTGATCAAATAAATGCAGCCTCGGCGAGCAGAAGAGACTTCAATAAAAACATTTAAAAATCATAATATTACCCTCTCTCGCTCTCGCTCTCTCTCTCTGTATATATATATAGATATAAAAAGTACAAAAAGTTTCTAAATTATATACATAATATATATATATATATATATACACAGTTACAAAGGGTACGGAAAGTATTATATACATAATATATATATATATATATACACAGTTACAAATAAATTAAATACAAAAAATAATAATATGAATTATATAAAAATTATATAAAAACTCAATGTATCATTATAAGATTTATTATAATTATAGATAATTACATCATGTCACATTGCAAGCCACTGCTTGAAAATTTAAAGAGATAGTTCCCTAAAATTGAAAATTCTGTTATCATTTACTCACCCTCGAGTTGTTCCAAACCCATAAGACTACGGTTAATCTTTTAAACACAAATTAAGAGTGTGTTAAACCTGAGAGATTTCTGTCCCTCCTTTAGAAGTCCAGGTAACCAAAACCTAAAAGATCCAAAAAGGTTATAAAGGCATTGTAAAACGAACCCAAATGAAAGTGGTTTAATCAAAGTCTTGTGAAGAGATATGATCGCTTTATATAATAAACAGATTTCATTTAGATTTTTATTTACATCCACTCGATTAATATGGATGTGTTTTGGGATGCCTTCATAACCTTTCTGGATTTATGCGTTTTAATAATACCTTCATCTGTGTTTCAAAAATGAACAAAACTTTTATGGGTTTGGAAATACATGAGGGTGAGTAAACGGTGATAGAATTTAAATTTTGGGGTGAACTATCCCTTTAATGTCAATGACCCACCTATGCCGGCAGCCTTTCTTGTGTCCAAGATGGACACGGGCTTCAAACAGGTCCTTCATAGTGAAGAGCTCAGACAAGTGGAAATAATCCGGTTGAGTGAGTGGGAAGTTCAGGATCTTTTCTGTAGCAGCTAAACAGGTAACACAAACATATAGAAACAATTATGAGCTATGAATGAATATTATATGTTACAATCTCTTCATAAGAGTCATGCTTTTATATAGTGCTTTTAACAACATTTTTACGGCTTTACATAAAAAAAAACACATATCAAGCACATACTGTATTTACATTAAGTCTACATACCAAATTAAGAGAAATAATTCTATAAGCAAGCTGATTCTTTATGAAACATCTGTATTCATTTATGTAAATAGTTCAACAACAAATGCTTATCTAACACTGATTGGTGACAAATTTTGTCACAGATAAAGATAAAGCACTCTATCAAAATTGTTATATACCAGGGTTTTTAAAATCTTTCTGATGTCAGACCCAAAGTATGATTTATTTTCTAAATTAAGTTTTTATGCACTATAGAGTACTGTACTGTTTTATGTGTTGATTCGTTTATTTTAACAATATTTAAATTTATTTAAAATACATTTTATTTATTTTTACCTTTTTCTCTAAGCATTTCACACGGACCCTCCAACACTCCCCTGTGGCCCCAAGTTAAAATCCATTTAATAGACTATAAACCGACAGAAACTGTATCTCTAGGTCGCTGGGTTTCATATATTCTGTATGCATGTGTCATAATCACTTAATCATCACATCGGACATTCTCACCGGTGTCTGGCGCTGATTTGACTGCAGCTGATGCGGAGCTCAATGTCTGTCCGTGACACGAGAACACAGCAGAGACCAACCGAGGGCCCCGGAAAACCTGCCTTACTGAAACCAATCATATTCAATTCATTTATTAAACGGTGCATACATTTGTATCCTAAGTCTGTTGCAAAACTGCTCAGAAAGTCCTTATAAAAACTCGATTTCACATGTAATGTTTTATGTCATTGCAAATCACAAGCAAGACGTTATATTATAATGTTGTTAATTGGTATTATAATATGGTTTACATAATGACATACACTCGAAGTACATTAACATTAAATAAAAACACGTTTTATTTCACCTCCGCTTAAGACGCCCGCTGCCATGTTTCCGTTCGAGCTCCGCCCATGAGCGTAAGGAAGAGTGCACAGGATTGTGGGTAATACAATTTTTTGGACTGATAAAACCGTTGCATCACACAACTCACGAACTACAAGTACCACAATGGCCCAGCTATTTTTTTAAACGAACCAAAACTTTATTGAATGATCCGGTGACAATTTTACTACAATGAACAATTTAAATAACACGAATAAAGAACGCTCGATAAAAATTAGCAATTGGAACTGTAAAAAAACTAAAACAAAAGAGAAGTAAAAGTAAATATAGAACAAGAACTAATTATTTTAAATATTAAATATACTTCATATTACAATATTCTCCTGAACACGTGAACATCCTTTTCATTCTATTTTCCAGCGGCTTCAGTTTATCTGTAATAAAACAAAACATTATGAACAAGTTCCACTAATGCTCAACAACCAGAAAGTATCTAAATACGTTTTATATGAACATCTATAACCTAAGCCGTCGTTCTATACCAAGTAAGTGTGATTAAAGTGAGCAGAATTAGTATATTTACCTGATCAAACTGACCACAAACTGCAGCCTTCGTTTGACTGTTTTGCTGCCCTACAACACACACACAACCAAAAAACTCACCCACCAGGTAGGCTATATATTCACTTACATGTACAAAGTGGATCAAATCTGTTACATCAGTGTGTGTGTGTGTGTGTGTGCAAGTGAATGCATGAATTTTTAATACATTCTTTTTATATACCTCTAGCTGCTTTTGAATATGGAGGCGCCTGGTTTGGAATTTCAGACTCCTCTCCTCCGTGTCCAGGGCGATATATGGACTTAACAACAACCCTGGATCTATAGAGGTGGACATAGACCTGGAGCAAACAAAAGAAACCGATTAACACATACATACACACTGTCAGTCTATGCATCTGTGAGCTTCAAAGACCAATCTAACTGCTGATGTTATAAATACAAGTTATATACATGTATACAGTTGGCAGACACATCTAAAACAACATATACTGTGTTTTATTAGGATGTGTTCACTGGGAATTTAGAAGCAAAAACCTAGAATTTTACATGCTTTAAGTAAAATCAAAACATCAAAACTTTTTAAAACATAACTGGATAATAGAAAGCAGTTTAAATTAAACAAAAATCAACTGCTTATCATATTGGTCTGATATATCATGCATCAACAACTTCAACCAACACAGTTTAACTAGTCACTAACACAGCGTGTGGACGTAATAAAATATTCAGTAACAACGAATGAAATAATTTATGTACTAAATTACAGCATTAAGACATCCTCTAATCTTCTTTTGTGATGAAAAATCGACAGGACATTAATTTTTGTGTCCTGATGAGCGTTTAATTACTCTGGAGTAAAAACATTAACATTCAGGAGGACAGAACTAAAAAAAAAAAATAATATTTTGAATATTCATCAGTCAGTAATATGTGATGCAAGAAAAAAGACTGGCATTAGCATCAATTTAGACATCTGTTAGAAAGGAAGCTACTTTACATTAAGATACAACACAGAGGAAGCTGTGTAAGAAACGGATTAGGAACATGTACAGGAATTCAGACGTTCATGTATGTTTACACACACACACACACACACACACACTCACGTAGTATAAGAACCATACAGCCTTGTGTCTCAAAGTCAATTTTTATTATACATCTTCAGAGATACAGTTTGAGTTTCGTTTCTCTGTGCAGAGCAGGGGACCAAAAAAAATCTTTTTTTTCTTTTTTGCAAAATATTTATGAAAGCTGGCAATGCCCAGCATAGTCAGCATGAGTCTTTACTTTCTTCTCTTCTATAAACAAAAATAAATAACATTCTTTTCACATAGGAAACACCCACATATAATAAGCAACAGAAACAGGAACTAAGAAACAGGTGCAAAGAGAGGGATGAGAAGGAGGGACTGGTGTGACTTGACAAATGTGATTTGATAAGTATGCACAAATGTGCAACAGGAGAAAGATGACAATTTTGAGACACTGAAAGAGAGAGTTTCATCCTTGAAATATGCAGATATAAATCTTTGAATGTTGTAGTTGTACAAAAAATATCCTGGTTATGACATGAATATAAAGAATTCCCAACGAAGTACATAAAATGTGTTAAAAGGGAACATCGTGAAAAAAATCTGCTTGTTGAGGGCAAGTTAGTAATTTGAAGATTTAAAAAAAATCTGCTTGTATTTCACAAATGAGGCCCATCTTAGTCATTTACTGTTGGAAGTGAGGAGATTTTCCTCATTTAGAAACCTAGGGATTATTTTAACGTTACTGAAAGGTGACTCGGACCGTCTTCTCAGAGGTCAAGGGTCTATAAATGATGATGCTGAACCATTGTGAATGACTAACAACTTAATATGCATTGATGCAAACAAAAGCGTTTTCATTCTCTTGGCCTTTACATTCTGCAGTCCTTCATACAATTTAGTATTTAAAGACGCAATTTTCATGGTTGTATTTAACTTGTGGAATTTTTTGCAGAAAAAAAAAACGGACTTTCTTAGAGTAAATATTTAAACCTGGGAACTATTTAACATGTAAACTCATAAACCTTCGGTTTTTAATTGCAATTACTTTTCGCAGTCTCAAATGAGAATTTCTCAAAAAGCAACGTTCCATTCAGAAATGCAGCTGCTGCAGAGAAAATACAACACAAACAATAAAAAACAAAGTTTAATCTCTCTTCATGACATCATGTCTGCTTTTAAATATATTTATAAATGTACAAACATACAAAAAAAGGATGTGGTACACTCAAAGAGTCCTAAGTGATGTCAGTTGGAACCTAAATAATACAGTACAAAAAGACAGAAACATTGAAATGCAGGATGAGACGCTGCAGTCCGTCAGGCTAATGCTAAAATGAAACAACTAATGCTTAAAGCCGAAGAAAAATTTCGGCTGTATGGTTGGGAATCTTGCAAAATACCTGCGAATCACAGATTTGGATCCATAGATCCGCCCGAACCAATGACCAAAATACTCGTTAATCTTTCTAATTAAAGACATCAACAATTTTATGAAGAAGTCTTTCGTATCTTAGCTGGAACAAGAGCATGGATACGTACTGGGCTTTTGGCGACCATGTTCCCTCAACTGACATGCGTGTGTGTTTGGAGAGAACAGGTAGGTACTCACTGATTAGGGGGCTGCTTCCTCCTGTCTTTTGTCTTCTGATCTTTCCTTTCCTCATCTGACTCTACATCTGTCTCATCAACACATTTCTCTTCCTCATCTTCCTGCTCTTTCTCTTCCTTGCTAACACTTCCTCCCTCCCTTTGTCTTTCTCCTAAACTTGCAGTGGACTCAATTGCCTCAATCTGGCTGACCTGCTGGTGGTTTGTCTTTGCTAAGGCCGTTGGGAAAGCAGCCTGGTCCCGTTGTAACTGGATTACACTGCTGTCCTGGTGGGCCTGCAGTACAGGTGAGGGCTGGCACAGGTGCGAGGTGGAGGGGGATAAGTGTGGTCTATCTGAGAGATGTCGGTCAATTTTCAGGTGGTTTTGCAAGTAAAGTCTCTCTGTCCTGCCCCTAGGGGGCGCCGAGGTCGAGAGGTCAACAGTGGTGACAGCAGGGGAACTAATTTGAGGTTTCGAGATAGGCGAGGGACAAAGAGAACTAATTACTTCCTTCAAAGGTATCCTAGTGGCTGATCTACTCTGGCGGCTGACGGCAAGGTCATTACTCTCTGCAGAGGAAAGTTCCTTGATGTTGCTCATACTGCTGTTAACGGGCCTCATCAGGAATAGGTTCTGGTGTTGATGACTCGATAATCGGGGCATCTCGGAGCTCACAGAGGGCGTAGTGAAGGAGTTGGGTTTGATGGTATGACTTGTTGGAGTGTCCTTTCCTGTCTGGGAGCTGCCATTCTTTGGATCTCTTTGAGTCGAAATCTCAATTTTTTGACTTTCGGTCCTCCTAAAACTCATAATGCAAGAGCTGCCTGTTGTCAGGACTGGCCCCTTGTTGAGTTCTGCAGGTGCATCCGTGGATCTTGCAGGTATGCCTATGGATTCTGCTTGCGTTTCACTTTTGAAGAGTCTACCAGAGGTTAATGCTGAAGTAGAAACTGGAGTTTCAATTAGAATCGTTTGAGGTTCTGGTTTAAAATCACACTCTGAAGGTGAGGTCAAGGAGTCTACGGCCCCCTCCTCCTGATTGGTGTTTGCAGCGAGAGGTGCAGACTCCTTGGCTCTTTCAGCTAGAAATCTCCTGATCTCTTGCTCAATGCTATCATCGCTGTCCACAGAACTGTCATCGTCATCTGCATGCGGACTGGAAGAAGGTATGTCCACATCTTGGGGCTTGGGAACCCCACCATTCCCAGTCACCTTGTTGGCTTGTTCATGGCTTTTAGATTGCTTGATGTTCTGGACTTCCGATTTGCCTTTAACTGCTTTGCTTTTATCACCCTTGTCGTTTTTAGTCTGAACATTCAGTGTCTCTTTGCCACCTTTCAAGATGCCAGACTTAACAAGCTTGGAAGGTGGGATGCTCTTCTGGTCTGTTAAAGGTTTCTGTTTTTTCACAGCATCCAAAGATGATGCCTCGGAAGGTCTGGCGCTTTTTCTTGCCTTCAGGTCTCTCACTTTCTTTTTGACTTTTTTCTTTGTCTTAAGCAAGTCTTTAATTGCAGCATCTAGATCCTCATCACTGTCCAGGGAGCTGCTTTTGTCACTGCTGTCGTTTCTCTCTGAGCCAATCACAGTCTTTGGGCTGGACATACTGTAAGTAGAAACTTTGTCTTTGGGTGCACTACTATCTGTACCCTTACGAGGTGGGGAGTTCTGCTTCAGTTTACTGTTTTTCATGGTGGCTAGACTACTTGAATGTGATGTCACAGTGGGAGTGGTTAAAATCTCTGGTCTGGTGGAGTAACTATGAATCAGAGGTGTCCCTGGAGGCTCCTCTTTAACATTCAAAACTAATTCACCATCTCTGGAAAGTTTGTTTTGTTCTTCTTTGAACTTGCGTTTTTTTGACAGGGAGAGCCTTACTGCTTTATTCGGCTGGGTTTCCTTCATCTTCTTCTTTGGTTCTTTGCTTGCTGTGGGATCTCCTGAAGCTGGCGAAGGTGCACCTGCTGTTGTTGGAAGCTCTTTGTTCATCTTTGCTTTATGTTCCAAAAATTTTCTTATCTCTTGTTCAATTCCGTCCTCACTGTCAACAGAGCTTTCATCACTTTTATCCGCGGATGGTGCAACAGTGAGGAATGTTGGCGTCTGAAGCAAATTTCTGTTAGCAATGCTTAAGTTAGGCTCAAACACCTCGGGCATGACGGTTTTGGAGATGTCTAGAATGGCTTCAGCACACAACAGCTCAGCAGTGTTGACCTTGAGACTGGAATGGATCTGATGTTCAGTGTGGGTTTGTTTTGGGTTTGAAAGGGGTGGTGCACACCCTTTGACTTTAGAGCCCTGGGATGTACACTTGTTCAAAAAGTGGCTTACACCCAGTGGTGTAGGGAGATTAGACTTCTTGGTTGTCAACTTCTTGCTCTTCTTGGACAGTGCTTTGAATGGCTGAGTACTCATGCATTCGGGAGAATCATGATTCATCAGTTGCGCAGGCACAAGTTGGGCAGGTTTGAGAGGCCTTTTCTTTTTCTTCTGCTTGTGTTTTTCTACCTGGAAGCGACGGATGGCTTCCTCAATACCTTCATCGCTGCTCGATTCAGAGTCCTCCCTGTGTCGTGAAGATCTCAGGGCATCTTTTTCACCTTCCTGTTTTTCTTTTTTCTCCTGCTGGAATCTCTGAATCTCCTCTTCAATTCCATCATCACTGCTTGAATCAAGCCATTCCTCTTCCTCTTTAATGACAAGACGAGGTGGAGATCTGTCCATCTCTGAAGATGAGGAAGATCCTTTCTTAGCTCTGGGTGGAGGAAGACTTTTTATAGGCAAAACTTTACTTGTGTCTGCTTTCTTAAAGGGATTTTCTTTGCTTAGCTTCTTCTTCTTGACTTTCTTCTTTAGGGGCTGCGTCCCACTCAAGGCTCTCTGTATATGATTGCTAGCAGTTAGCACCTTACCACTACTGGAATGTGTGTGTTGTTTAGCAGCATCTGGGACAGTTGGTTCCCTCCGCTGAAGCTTGGGTGCAGGGGGCGAACTTGTCATCGGATCCCCTTTGCGCTTGTGGTCCACCTTCTCCTTCAAATACTCCTGAATGGCCTCCTCAATGCCTCTGTCCACAGAATCGTCACTGTCCGAAACATCGCCAGTATCAGATTTGGCGGTCTGTAGCTTAGTGTCCACCCCTGTTCGCCGGGATCTCGCAGACGTGTCCATGAGTCGCATTTGACCCTTGTAGCCAGCCTCGTGGCTGGAATGAGCAGCCTTTTCGGTCTGCACGTTTTCGCTCATGTCCGAAGACTGGGTGCTGTGGAGGCTCTCTATAATCATCTGGATCTTCTGTGGGATGGGGGTGCCGCTAACAGAGGCAAGGTCGCTGTCGGAGGCACTGTCATTGAAAAAGAGAGGCAGGCTGCAGCTCTTATTGGACCTCCATTCAGAGTGAATTGCCACCACCGGAGGAACTGTCTTCAGGAACATTCTAGAAGGTCGGAATGGAAGGGATGTAGGTGCATGGGAAAGCTCCACCGGTGATCTTGTTTACATTCTAAAATGGAAGAAACAGAATTCTTAATTTCAATAAAATTGAATGTGTTTAGAATATCACATTTAAACTGACAAGGTTTAATTTTTCAAAAGCATTAATGGTAGAACCTTGGGATAGTATATAATCCCACATTTACCAATTGTGAGTGTGTCATACACAGTCTATTAATGTTTTTTAATTAGTTTGCACATACTTTTGGGGGAAATTATTTAAAAGACCAATTGTAAAAAAACTTGATAGTCACTTGATAGAAAGGCTAATACTAATACAATATTTAGCCCAGTGTTTGTTCCATGTGTAAACTGGAGAAATCACAATTCAGTCGTAATAGTGCTTAAAGCCCTGCCAAGTTTATAGGTATTGAATTGCAATTACACAGGCAAAAATAAAAATTCCCTAAAAACTTCAGAAATATTTGGAAAAAGCTAAGTCAGCTTCAATTCATTTTCAAAAATGTACCATCATCATCAGGCAAGGAGGATCTGTGGAGGATATTCAACTTTTTTGGCCATTCAGAAACAACACAGGCCTACTAAATAGCATATATCCCATGTTCTGTAAATTATTATATTATAATATTATATTTTATAAAATTATTAAGTTATAGGCCTATTATAAAATTATTATTACTATTATTAGACACGTTAAATAATGACACTCTCTCAAAAGAGCTCTTAAGACTCAATTTGACACCATCTACATTGCGAAACATGCAGCGACCAACGATGTGGCGACCATTGCAGACCGAGCGAACGACTCTTATGACCAGATTCTTTTTACTGAATCAACGACATTGCGACCACCGAGGTACGAGCCTCGAACGAATGACTCGTATGGACCGATTCTTTTAGTGAATCACTTGTGATTCGGAGCGTTTGCTGAATGAATCTGACTCACTGAACTGTAAATTATTACTTTCTTTACTTCTAATTAGCCAAGAACTGCCAGCGTGTTATGTTGTAGGCCTTCTTAGGGCTTAAGTGTAGTTACTGACTAATTGTTCATATGACAGCGTGTTCAAAAATATGAGTTTTGATTCAGTGGCGTTTTATATAAATGATTAAATTAAATGATACATGTATTTTAATATTTAGTCGTTTTATCTAATATACAGTTAGTACCATTTATTGAATGATTTTATTTATACAACAGATAAATCCGTGTAAACAATTATTTGTGCTTTGTTACGTTTGCTGAATGATAGCATCACCTGAGAAGAATGAATATGAACAAGAATTACTTTCATTTAAAATATTCATTCGTCGAAATAATAAAATAATCATTACTAGAACCGTTAACGAATCAGAATCGTTAAGAGGAATCAGAATGGCCATATTCATAGGCTACAGATTCCTATTGCTAATTTTAAGGGTGCATTTAGGCTACATGCATCGAGACCCGAGCGGTGCCGTAGCCGAGGCCCCTCCGCCGCCTTCAACGCTTCATCACCTCAGACAATAAACTCCCGTAAGTTATGACAAAATAACTCCCTCCACTACGATGCCACAATGAAACTCCCGCTAAATGGAGACATTGTATCTCCTTTGCACTTCAATGCGAGAAAGTTGTAGTGTTTTTTGTGCTTTTGCAATCCGCCGTCAGAGCTCCGTCTCACCGGGCTGTCCCTGCGCGCAGCTCGCGGCTCTGCCTGCACTCGCGACCGGGGAGCGGAGCTAAGATACACCGTAGAGGAACCCGCGTCTTCCGCCTGCCGGCCACGGTGTCTCCGTCCGTGTTTACACTCGTTTAGTGTCAAAAGAGGGTCTGTTAGGGCGAAGTTCGGAGGTCGTGCGTTTATATGTGACATTTAATAAAACAGCCTCCTAAAATGTAGCAAAGAAAGGCAAGGAGGAAAGCTGAAGTTCGCCATGAGATACAAGCGCCGAGACGCTCGCGGGGCCTCTTCACTTCACGCCGGTTCATTTCGCAAAACCCTCTTTGTATTGTGTCCCTCTAACGAAAAACATCACAGAAGTAACAGCCCGCTGCATGCAGGCGACAGCTAAAGGGATGAGGCTCACCTTACGACTGATGAACGGCTGTTGCGTTTATCTTCCAGTGTAACAGATCCAGCTTTTGCAATTCCTTACACATTTTTTGGAGCGTCCACATGCGGGAGTGGGCGCGCGCTGCCGTCTCGTGCACCCCTTCTGCCTTCCGACTTACCTTCAGAAATCACTTAAAGACACAGTACTGCAGAACGGACTGGAATTGTGTTGTGAAATTAATGGTGTAGTCAGATATGTATTGTGTCTACATATACATTTCTTTACAAAACGTTTATTTTTAGTTGAGTTTGATTGAATGGTGAAGGAAAAGAAGCCAACCAGTGTCCAGCATACATGGGAAAAGCGTTCAGGATGCCTGAAGTTGGTTAAGAGAATGTCTGAAAAACTGCAGATCTGAAATCTACGGATGCCCGTTTCTGCCATGAGAACTTTAAAAAATAAATAAATAAATAAACTTTTTATGTGCGAGGAATAAACTGGCCATTGCGAGAAAAAAAGTCTGAATTGTGGGGTGGAAAAAGAAAAAGGATAATAATAATAATAATAATAATAATAACATAATTGTGAGATAGGGCCTATAAACTTAAAGTTCTGAGAAGAAAAGTCAGAATTATGAGATATAAACTGGCAATTGCAAGAAAAAAGTCAGAACTAATAAAAGTCACAATTATACGGTGCCCGGGAGGTGACATGTTCGGTTCACGACATAATAACTCGTGGAAACGTGATATTATGTCGTGGCCACAAGATCATTTTGTCGAGGTAATGACATCCTTATGTCGTGGCCTCGAGATGCTATGTTGAGGGAACGACATCCATTTCTCGTGGCCACGAGTGCGTAAACAAACCTGCGTGACCATAGCAACCCGGGATTACCAGAGATGGATTTATTAATATTTGATTTTGAATTAAGAAATGATCATATTATTTATTATAGAAATTATTACATTATTAAATTATTATATTCACCATAGGCCTTGGCTACCGGACTGTATTACGTGCGATAGTCAGCATTCAAATGAAGTTTATCATTAATAAAAGTTACATAAAGTGCATAATATAAAATAGGCCTACAAGAAAAAAATTGTATCCATCCTACAGTCTTGTAAGTCCAATAATTGATCGTCTTTTCCCCGTAATATTTGTATATTATTATTATTATATTATTATTATTAGCCTATTATTATTGGTTATATTTTTATATTCGTTTATATAAATTTTTTCGGCCTAATCATTCACGTAGTTTCATTTGTAAATGAAAACACAACAGGCTCATTTATCATCACACATGGGCATAAATACAATCATAAAGTCAAAACTTTATTGGCATAATTGTCAGGCGTTTATTTGCAAAACATATGGTAGGCAAGCAAATGCTAGCATAATTATACAAAGGGGAAATAAGCATATATAACAATAAATATAAAAATATAGCCCTAATAAGTTAATGTAATAATAAGAATAATATACAAATATTAAATTAAATATTTAATGTTAATAAAAATGTTTTATCCATTTACGCAGGTTATTATTAAACTCGAGGCCACGACATAAGGATGTCATTACCTCAACAAAATGACCTCGTGGCCACGACATAATATCACGTTTCCACGAGTTAATATGACGTTCCCATTAATTAATATCTCAAAACTAAGTGTAAGTTTATATAATATAACATCAAATAATGTACTTTTTTTGACAGTGATTAACTGAAAGGGTGTTAAATTGAGTTAAGTTGAGTTAAGTTGAATTGAGTTGAGTTACCATTCTGAAAAATTTCCCTATACAGTGTGACAACATGCCCCAGTTGGGCACAAAAGGGCACCATGCGTTCAAAGAAATTGATCATTTTTCCTGGGCAACAATAATTAAAATGTTAAATAGGTTTTTTGTATCCAAGACTTTAAGGTTTGCATTTATGCATAAATTCAAAAATAATTTAAACGTTTATTTCTAAAATAAAGAATGGATAACATGCAGTAATTTTGATGTTACTACAGATTTATGTTGAAGGTCACTATTTAACCGTATTTTGGCTCTTGCATTCATGGTATTCAGATCATGCTTTGTAGACTGTAGCATATATCGTTGTGATTCATGACACCGAGTTACAATTATATCTTAATTTAATTGTTTAATTAGCAAATGATCTCAGCATTATTCTTGTTAGAATCATTAGGAAGATAAATGGTCCATGAGATGATGTTGTAGTCTGTATTTTGTGGATCAGTGGGTAACTTCAGTCCTGTAGAGCATCTTCAAAATTCATTTCTCACTCTTTTTTCTTCTGCTCTTTCTATATTTCACACCTCAAAGGCTCAAGCTCACCTCTGCTCAGCCATTAGACTGACATGAACTCTGCTGATTCTTTAGCATTACTCAAGCTCAGCTATTTATGCATCATAAACCTGATTTACTAAAATCAAGGCACCAATACATCGTTTAATGTAGGCTATGTGACAGTTTAGTCTTTGTCTGCTGTCAGTTTAGCTTATTATTTTTACTAAAATATACTTTTATAGTTGATCAGGACTAGAACCATCCACCATGAGTTATTAGACAAAGCATTGTATTTTATCATTAATTATATACTGATATAGTTTTTATTAATATTTATAATTAGCTTTTATTTTTATATTTTCTTTTCATGTTTCACTATTCAAATGTTTCTTTTAAGAACATAATATATATTTCTTCTTTCTTTCCATTCCATTTTTTTCTTTGTGTTAATAGCACCACACAAACACACACACACAAATAAAGACAAAAAGTAATATTAATAATAAAGATATGGATAGAAAATTATATCATATAAAGAAATATATATTAGATTAAATATTTTTCTTATACATTTTCATTTTACTTTTTTTGTTTTAGTCATTTTGTTGTGTGCTTTTGCTATTTTTATTATAATTTTTTTATTATTATTATTAATATTTATTTCAGTTTTAGTTTTTATTGATTTCCCATTTTAGTGTTTCAACTAAAACTTATTTCAGTTAGTTGCCAAGGCAACATTTCTACATTTCTTATAGTTTAGGTTTTTCATCTAATATTTATATTTTATTTTATTTCAGCTTTATTTCAAGTAATAAAAATGTTTTTAATAGTTTTAGTTTTAGTTAACAATAATAACCCGCAAAGCAGACAGTTTCCAACTTAATCTTAAACAGATTTAAACATTTTAAGAGATTTTTGAATTTCTGAAGTTTTTTTTAAAGGGGTCATATGATGCGATTTCAATTTTTCCTTTCTCTTTGGAGTGTTACAAGCTCTTGGTGCATAAAGAAGATCTGTAAAGTTGCAAAGACTGAAGTCTCAAATCCAAAGAGATATTCTTTATAAAAGTTAAGAGTCAGCCACGCCTACCTAAAACGGCTCGTTCTAACACACCCCACATGTCTACGTCACGATGTGAGAAGATTTGCATAACGCCGCCCAAACGTTCACGCAAAGAAAGTAATGTTCTTTTTAGCAGCATCATATGACCCCTTTAAAACATTTTCTAGCTTGATCAGATCAAGTTTTGGTAGATTTTGTTATATGATGTTTCAGTCCCTGTATGTATGTATTAGGGATGTAACGATGCACACGGAGCCGATTGAAAATATGTGACGATTCAAATCGGTTGAGATGTTAAAGGAATCGGAGTTCTGTATCTCTGAGGGTAACTGGCTGTCTTTAGAAAAGTTTAGATAGTATTTTCTTTTCATCTTGACTCTGTATAATGCATATTATTAAAGCCTTGTTCATAAGCCCAGGGCTGCTGTGTACAGCGGTAACCAAGGAAATGCTGTATTTCTGCTGTTCCATAAGCGCCTCCTGCTGGCAGAGAGTGAATTTGCTTTCTCATTCAGCCTAATGTTGTTTCGTGCAGATAGGTTTTATGTAGTATAGTTGCACAAAGAAAAAAAAAATAAAAAGAAAAAAAATAAAGTCAAACCATTCTGTTTTTGCTTCATATTTCGAAATTATATCATCTAATTTAGATTAAAAACTGCTCATGCTACATGAATGCAGCATCTGTTTGGATTGTGATTAAAATACAGTTGCCTCTAATTTTAAATGAAAACAACACAGGCAAAGCCTAAGTTTGTTTATATGAAGAGATTTCTTTTATTTGTGTCATTGTGTCATTTATTTATTTGTTTTGGGGTTTGTTTTAACATTTCAATTTAGTTTTGTTATTTGTTTATTGATTTCATAAAGAAATGTGCAGCATTTTATCCAAGCAATAATAAAAGAACACCTTTTCACTTATAATTTGTCTTAAATCACATTGTTAAAAAAATCGTGAGTAAATCGTATCGTGAAATCAGTATCACGAATTGTGAGTTGAGTGAATCGTTACATAGTATGTGTGTGTGTGTGTGTGTGTGTGCATGTATACACACACACACACACACAAACACACACATATAATGAATTCCCTTAAATTGTTAATTCCTAGTAAATAGA